GTGTTGGTTAGGAGTGGGCAACAGGGCAAAAATCCTCCACCCTGATGTATGGAAGTTTACATCAGTCAAAGCAATATAAATTATGATACAGCAAATTTTCTGGAAATTCAATAAAGGAACTTTTTTTTGATCAACTGTTTAACCCTTTAAAACCTAAACTAATTGGCTTATTTTTTTTCAAATGCATGGAAATAGGGCAACGAGCAATGAAAGCAGAAAAGACCCAAAAACTTGGCAAGAAATTGGTAAAAAGAAAAAAATAAAAACAAGAAAATTAGTTAAAAAAAAAAAAAAAAAAAAAGGAAATGACCTGGAAAAGTGCTTAAAAAATTTGTGACATCATTTTAAAATGAAATAATAATTTTAAATATAGTTTTTCCCTAGCTGTTTTTCTTTTTTCCATTTGCATTTTTTTTTAAATAACTTCTAGACATTTTTTGCAATTTTCATGGACATTTCTTGTAAATGTAGGCTATATCTTGCTTGAAAATACATCGATGTATCTTTATATCGCCCAGCCCTAAGTTAATAGTCTGACGCTTGTTTGCTGTTAGGACATAGTGTCATTATGTTCCACTCAGGAGCGGCTGCTGAGTCAGGTGCAACAATGTTAAGTCAGTATTTGGCCTAATATCAAAGGGGTTGATTTTATTTTTACACTGGCCCAACCCCAACCACAAACATTATAACTGATATATTGCGTAACCCAAACTGAAACCAAATGTTATCCAGATAAAAGGCTCCTGTGTGCATCATGTGGGCCATGTCTCTGCTCTCAGAGCTGCTGCTATTTACTCAACACAAAGGAGAAACTACATGCAGAGAAGGCTGTCTACAGTGAGCATGGCTCCCTGTACTGACAACAGAACATCTCTTATATACTCCATTATGTGGTTATTCAAAATAAATAACCTCAAATGCAAATAATCCAGGTTATGCTCAGGGATGTGTTCTTTCAGTTCAAAGTCTTGACTGGGTGCTCTGTGTCACAGTATCACTTCAAAAAAAGGTGCTCAGACTTGTGTCGTAATTTCCCCAAACATGAACCCAGCCCTCGCATGGAGGGGCTGAGGCGAGGGCATCGTCTGAAAGGCTCCTCTGGGATTATGCACTCCTCTAACTCTCACACACAAAAACACGAGTACAAAGAAGAATCGCGTTAAATAATAACTTGTGTTTCCCTGAATGAGACAGTCTTGGCACAGGCCTGCACCATTACTCTGTGTATTTATGCCTGCATGTGTAAACTTTGACCCAAATGATGACATGTCGGCATGTTGATACAAGAATTTATGGCTTTGAGGTTCAAGCCGGTTACACCCACACTCACACAGAGCTGTTCTCTTATCAGTTGTTTAAGAATACATCCGCGTGCATAAAGTCAGTCATTCCTCAAATATTCTCTTCATCAATAAGGGTGCATTAAATGTAAGAGGACAGTAAAAAATAATCAACACAGTCTCTCAAACCTCAAGCTGACATGTTCACACTGCTTGTTTTGTCCAAACAATATTCCAAAACCTGGAGATATTCAGCTGTATGTCACGGAAATAAAAGAAAACCAGCAGCTGGAACCAGAGATTTTTGACATTTTTGCTTCTAATGCGCTCCTGATGCTCGGGGAAAGAAGTTAGAGGTTGTTACTAGTACTTTGCTCTGTCTTTTAAACCTCAGGTAGATAATCTTCTTAAAAAGCTGAGGCTGAAGTTTCATTTCTGAAACAAGTCCTGTTTCTGCTCTGAGGCCAGAAAAAGACTAGTTGCTGCTTCGTTTTTACTCATTCTGGGTTATGCACGAATGCATCGGCATCGGTGTTTTCAAAACACCCCCGCTGACAGAAAGTTGAACTCGCCCACCCTCACACTCAACGTCGCGGTGACGCAGACCTCCTGTCTGTTTCTGTGAGCTGAAACCATCTCCCTCAGTGGAGATGAAGCTTGTATTTACTTTTATTTCACAGATAAGAAACAATAAATTGTGAAGACAGTAAAGCCTCCACTAAAACAGCATCTTAAGACGTCTGTGTGATTTATCCTTCAGGGATTTATACTTCGGATTTATCCTGGCTTCATAAGAGTAGAGGAAATCTCCACTCATTGCTAGGCTAATGTATACAATGTAAAATACCATAGGCTGGCGCTAATAGCGTTAGCATGTTGTATTTGTTTGGAAAACATGTTTAGTGTAAGACAGTTGTTTAGTCAGTGAACCTTGTGAGTTGTAATGGAGCCTAATTATGTGCCGTTACCTTTGTTACATGTTGCTGTTGTCCCTGGTTTTATATAAGAAGAGGAAAAGATCACTAGCTGCTAGGCTAATTTATACAATGTAAAATACCATAGACTTGTGCTAATAACGTTAGCATGTTGTATTTGTGGGGGAAATGTGTCCAGATAAAGACAAGTGTTTGTCTGTCAGTTCTGCGATTTATAGTGTAGCCAGTTTGCGTACATGTGTTTGAAATTGTCTCTATTAAGCCATGTTTAATGTGTGTTTAATGTGTGTTTTGAATCAACTATATAAATAAAGTTTGATTTGTACAAAACTTTACAGCACTTAACACAGTCCTCCAACGCCGACTAGTGTTTTGGAGGTGTAACTGCAGAGTGACACAGACACACCACCGCAGAAGTCAAAATAACATGCAGATTTTTTTTTTTTTCCCACGACTAATCGATTACTTGAAGATTATGTGCGACTTTAGTCAACCGAGATTTTTTTTGGTTGACTACAGCCCTAGAGATTTGTTACATACTGTAAAGCTCTCACTCATCACTGTACGATATTCTGAGCTGCACTGATGGAATCAGAGTGTAAAATATCAAAATCATGTCTTTAGTGTGTCACCGACCTCTGTGTTTGTTAGAAGCTCTGTTTTAAAACAATGGGAAATAGATCCCTGAGACAATGAAATTATTTTACTGACCTACAACAACGTATGACTCTTTTTTTACCGGGGACGCCGGACTTCGTTCATGGATACTTTTTTCTTCAGTGATCTGATTAGTCCGAGGTCCGGGTGTTGACAAGCTAGGATCTGATACTCTGAAGTCAACCTGCTTTATCTTGGTAAAAAGAGAGCAAGCTTGGCAGCACTGAAAACCCAAAGTCAGCCCTCAAGTTACCTCGCTAACTGCAAATCCTGCTTCGTAGTATGGGCCCCTGGTCTGTTTGTTTAGGAAGGAGGAGACCTCTGCAGATAATTGACCTATGGCTAAGTCCCGCCCTCAAACACGATGAGCCAATCACAGTGCGTATAGCCATTCCCATACACTCGGACATTCTCTGCCTGGATGTCCATTGAAATGCATCACAGAAAGTCAGTTTTGTTCGGTTTTATGAGCTTTTTCAGAGATTTGAAGTTTAAAAATGGTCAAACGGTGTGCATGGGGTACATGCAACTCTGACACAAGGTATCCTGAGAGGCTGGGCGACCAGGTGTATTTTTTACCCTTTAAACCACATCTCAACCGAGAAAAGTGTCTCCTTTGGATAAAGTTGTGTGGTAACGTTAGACCACAACATCAACTCAACGTGAATAAGATTAACAATGATGTCTATATCTGTTCTAAGGTAAGTCAACATTGTGTTTGAGGCAACATATTGTCACTTTGCTGGAAATATAAAGTTATCTTTAACATCTCTAGCTAACGTTAGCTAGAGTTAGCCTAACGTTAGCTCCTAGCTGCGTTGTTCATCATGTCACCTTGTTTGCTGGGAGTTCATTAGCCTATTTTGTTCTAGTTTTGTACTTTGGTGATCGTACATCATTGTTAGCTGTTGTCCATAGGGCTCTAGTTAAGCTAACGTTGACCTGTAAATTTTGGCTTGTAATTTAAGCTTTTCATCGACCTTCTCAACAATAAAATGATGAATATATCCCTCCAATGCGTAGTTTAGGCCCTTTTGGTTACTTCTCAATGACATCTGATCGTTATGTCCCCAAAAATCATCAATTGCCTCCTGTGAAATGCCGTGTACTGTGACACCTGCCATAGTGCCGGTCACTGAATGTTGATAGTTTGTCCGAATGAGTGGAGGGGGGTGGGGCTTAGCCATAGGTCAATTAGGCTCTCGTATCGGAGTAAAAAGGTGAGCACATGTTAGCAGGTGCTACAGTAGGTTAGCGGCCCATGTCAAAAATGCTGAGCAGCACTGGAGAAACACTGGAGGCATGTAAGCCAGAAGAAGTGTCAGCTGAAATTAACAAATTATTTCAGGTATTTCACACTATGTAGGTTTTATTGTGGCATACTTGATTGAACGGGCCTCTGGTCTCTCTTGTAAATGAGATCCCAATCTCAATGGGACTTCCTGGTTCAATAAAGGTTAAATAAATAAATTAAAATAAACAGTTTGTGCAGCTCTCAAGAAAGCTGCAGGACCAGTATCGGCTGTAAAAATCCAGTATAGTCAGGCTCTGAAAAATGCTTAAAATGATTAATCAGATACCAAAACATGGAGGATGATCGACTATTGACAAAACTTGTACACAAATTCAGCACTTTTAAACAATAAATACAAACCCACAGGATCTTTTAAGCTTTTCAGCGCAGACTCTCTGCTGCACACTGTTTTGTGGCTTTATGACAGCTTCATCTTTTGCATGTTAAACCAGTAAGTTACTGGTATTTCAGTCCAGTTTACTGTACATACAGTGGTAGGAATAGTTGTGTCAGTGCTATGAGAGATTTTACAGGGACACTACAAATATCACAGAGGTGGAGGGGCCTGAAGCAGCTCTGAGGACTTGAAGTACCTTTAAACTCACCAGTATTAGCACAAAATACTGCAGTGACACATAAAGAATATTAAAGATATATTAAAGGGGCTTTCTCCTTTGATATCTGGTCCTCTGCAGCGTCAGTTCAGGGTTTGTATTTCCAGTTTAAGCATGTGACAACTTATTTTTCCCACAGCAGTTAAACTGAATCAATGTCAGGCGCAAAGAGCTTTAAACAGGAGATATAAGCATAAGACATATTTGGGGTTTGTTTTACCTCCGGAGCTGTTTGGCTGCCGTCGTACCACTTGTTCCCGGGTGTCCCTCATCATGTTTTCCTCCTCTTCCTCTGACCGGGCTTCGGCCATTTCTCTTGTCTTTGCGTCTTTATCCTCACTTTTCTGTCTGTCTGGAGAAAATGGAGCTGGGTCACAACAGAGACAGCGGCACCGACATTATTCCGCCTCCTGTTTTGTCGTCGCTAACATCCACCACAACAACCCGGGACAAGTTCACCCAAACACGGTCAACTTTCCGGGCCCGGGAGGACTTCCAGCCTCGGTCAAACTCTCCGGCTCCGTGTTGGAAAGCTCCGGAGACGTTAACCCGTCCAAACCCCGCTGTTAGTTGGACACAATAAGTGTCGTTGTGTTTGGTTTCGGCTGAAGAGTTTCTCCAAGCTTCCCTGTTTCCCCCCCCCGGCCGGGTCGCGAGCTCAAGATACAGAGCTGCACGCGCTGCGGCTGCGTGACGTCACCAACTGAAAAAAAAAGAAAAGAAAAGAAACATGAGGAAAAATGGAGGGCAAAACAATTAGCTTAGCTAACACAACACATGCTACTGTTTGTGCTGAAGGAGGAGTAAAAGTTGCAACACCAGAATTTTTAAAAATACATTTTTACAACTTAAAGTTCTGCATTCAAAACTCTGCTTCTGTAGTAAAGTAAAATACAGGGAGAAAATAATCTTACTATATAATGACAAAAACTCTGTCTGTGTGTCTGTTCCACGTTTTTCTCCTCACTGACTTGGTCAATCCATGTGAAATTTGGCACAGTGGTAGAGGGGTCATGGGAGGATGCCAATGAAGCAATATTACATCAATTGGCCAAAGGGGGGCGCTATAGCAACAGTTTGAAATTGCAAACTTTGAATGGGCATATCTCATGCCCCGTATGTCGTAGAGACATGAAACTTTGCACAGAGATGCCTCTCCTCATGAGGAACACATTTGCCTCAAGAACCCATAACCTCCGCTTATATAGATTTTCCGCCATTTTGAATTTTTTGAAAAACACTTCAAATGGATCTCTTCCTAGGAAGTTTGAGCGATCTGCATGAAACTGGGTGAACATAATCTAGGGACCAATATCTAAAGTTCCCTCTTGGCAAAAGTTGGAAAACTTACTAAAACTGAGCTTCTATAAGGCAATGAATATTGCGGAGGGCGTGGCTCATCACATAAAGGTGTATAACATCTCAAGGGTTTCAGCCATCACCACGCAACTTTGTAGGCATATGACCACACATAATCTGAGGGGACCCCTCCATTATTGACCCCATCAAACAAAATGGGGGCGCTAGAGAGCTCATTTCTTATCTAGGCCTAACCGCCATATGGATTTTTACTAAACTTGGTAGATATGTAGAACAGGACGCCTCAAGGTGACTGGAGAAATTTAACTCTAATTGGCAACTGGGTGGCGCTATAACAACAGAAACATGCTTAAAAATGGCTAAAATGTGACCGATCGCTGTGGCTGCAATCGTACTATCAATTTCACAAATACTCTGTCTGAATACATTGCTCTTCTTAATGGGTTCAGTTGACTATTCAATCTGCAATTTCCTATGACCTGTATCCCAAACACACACCATGTGAAACTGTACATGGGCAACTGTGCACTCAGTGGGTATGACTAGTTGTTATTATCATTACAAAAAACATAAAACATAATAACTCAAAGCAAACAAGACAATCGTATCCACCTTATTCCTTGCCCCCCATGATACCTTGCATGAATTATGGGTTCAGCTTCTGGCGTTGAACCAAAACCGGCAATTTCCAGTGGAGTTTGTTCACAGTGCTCTATTCTTTTTTCCAAGAGCAATGGGGAAATAAAACGTTGAACACACCACCTGTTAAAGCTCAAACAGGATTATGTGATCATACCTCTGCCATCTCTGACAGCCACCTCAAAGCAACCAAGCACGCTAGCAATTAGCTCGCTGTGCTCCGTTAAATATTGTTAACTTTAACATGGCTCGAGCTAGCTGAAGGTAACATCTGCTCCTTCTAAAGATGATTTCCGATGACTTATTAAGAGACACTAACACATAATTCAGTATTAACTGTAGCTCCATATAAAGTGAATAAATGTGATGTTTCCCAGCTAATGCTTCGCTCGTCTGCATTAACCACACAGTTTACACGTTTTTTTAACTTCTGATTTATTAAAAACTGCTCTGAGCGAAACATGAAGCTGTCTATCTTGTGGCATTCATTTTTTAAGGAAGTACAGTAAATCAGTAATACATTCTTAGCCCTAATGACTGATATTTCAAGGTATGTTGTTGAGTTTATTTTCTAATGTAGGTTGAGACTGAAGTCAGATGGAGAATGGCGGGGATATCATGTACTGATTCATTACTTCTCATTTCCTTATGCTAATTCTGATTTAATACTTTTTCTCTATGTCTGGTGAAACTCTTGTGGTTTTATTTCTCATATCAATGGTACCTTTGGCAACAGGAACAGTCCCTTTTTGTTCTGGTCACATGTTCAACACACAGTTGCTGAAGACAAAAATGCAGGGCACTCTGAGACTGCTGATGATGTTTTGATTGTCGATGGTGAAACCCATAAATTCACTGCAGTTGTGTGATGAGAACCGTTGTTCTGAAAGTGTTGGACTGTTTGCCCACACAGTTTTCAACAAAGTGACCATCCTTGCTTGTGAACCACTGAGCCTTTTGAGGGTGGTCCTTTGTTACCCAATCAGGAAGCTGTCACCTGTTACAGATTAACCTGTTTACCTGTGGAAAGTTTTTTTAAGCACTCAACAACTTTCTCAGTGTTATGTTGCCCCTGTCCCAACTTTTTTTGAATGTGTTGCAGGCACTAAATTGAGGCTTTACAAAGCATCCAAACTTTTCTGGAATTGAAGTTGTACTTTACTCAAGTAAAAATAGCAGCACAACAATGAAAACTTTTCCCTTTTACAAATTAAAGTCCTGCATTTAAGACTAAAAACCGACTTCCCAGGCAACATTTGTACGTGGGGTCCATGTCGGTAGTCAATGGGCTGAAAAATGAGCCCTATATGGGATTGTTCATGGGTTACATTTTGGCCCCATATCAATTGCCCACGTGGATGGGTTTAACCAAGTTGGCCGCAGACAAGATGCCAAATTTGGGCCCATACCCATTTGGTACCCAGGTAGCTGAACATAACCATGTGCGGCCTATTTGGGTAAAGCCAATAATGTGGGCACGTGGCATGGGGTTACTATGGAACCCAAGGACAATCCCATGTTGGGCCCATTTGTCAACCAGTTTACAACCCACGTTGGCCCCACATACAAATGCTGGCTGGGTTAGAGTATCCAGAGTAAAAATCTTGGGTTTTCAGTTTATGTTTCAGTTTATGTTCTTTCATTCAAACTTTTAGTATTTTTACTCCCACCATAACAGGTTATTTTGCATGATAAAAATTCAATGAACTCATGAAATACAATGTTTTCCTTTACTTTCAAACACACAGCAGCATAGTTATAAGCACTCCCTGAACCTGCACAGTCCAAAAATATTATCTACACATTAATATATCAACAGATTCACAGTTTGTGTTCAAACATGGTTCCATTTTACTGCAAGTACCTACAGCATAAGTACAATTTAAATGAGTTTTTGCCTTTAATCTTTTATTTCCATATTGTGGTTGTGGCTACTTCACATTACTTGCAGAAGATGAATACGTCTTCCACCACTGCGAGTCAAAAAACTATCAAACAAAACCAGTATAAATAGTTAAATTGGTTGCAGTTTCAATAAGTTGCCACCAGAGTGCAGCACTGACGCTGTATCCAAACAGCAGCAGGTGGAAATGAAACAAAATGCCAGCACTGACCTTTGGTGAAAACAGGTCTGATACTGCACTGAAACCATAATCGTAAATCAATGAATAAATAAAATATCAATCAAGACACCGTTCATTTCCACACAGTGAAAAATGGCCTTGGAACACAGTTAAAGACACTTTTGTTTTCCTGCAGGTGTCTGAGAATGTGTTGGAAAACTAGGAACTGCATCAGGAAACACAGAAATATATATATTTAACACATATGAAGGAAATACTGAGCTGCAGTTTACATTTTAAGACAAACATGTTTCTTAGGCCTACCAGTATGTGCAGAGCACTGTCATTTGTAAAAATCATTTCCAATTACTTGAAAGTTGTGTGAGATTTATTCATGAAAACAGGAAGTGCTTTACGGAGCCATTACACACACAATCAATCAAACAAGAATGACTGTAACAGACAAAATCTAAACAAAATCAATTATTAAATTATATTTTATTTCCTTAGTAAAAATCTATATGATGTGGTTCTAATGAGGTCACATTTTGAACCAGATGACGAAGATGATGAAGATGAGGTTGGCTGGGATCCAGATGACCCGGTGTGTGTATTGTTCTGACAGCAGATTAACGGCTCCTGCTGTCCTCTAACACCAGCCGTTAACCTGCGTTTCCACGGTGATTAACAGAGCCTTGTTAAAATCATCACACAGCAGGGGGGATACAGTGTGTGTGTGTGTGTGTGTGTGTGTGTGTGTGTGTGTGTGTGTATGTGTGTGTGTATTTACAGGGTTTGTGGGGTATATGTATAGTACATATATATATATATATGTATGTATGTATGTACTATACATATATACATGCAACCAACAGTTTAATTTATTGAAAAATTTCAGGGCATGCACGAATCTGTGATTCAATGACAAATTAAATACATATAAACATAATGATATATTTGCAATAATATATACATATATAAAACAATACAAATAATTGTATAGTTTTATAATAATACATTTAATAAAACATTTAATATAAATTCATACTTTTTTAATGATTGCAAAGTTTCAGGAAGTTCATTAATCAGTTTTACAGTCTGAAATTAAATAAATAAATTAAATTAAATTAATAAAAATTATTACTACTATTTATAACAATGATAATAATAATAATAATAATAATAATAATAATAATACATTTAATAATAAATTAATACATTTTTATTATTGAAGTTTCAGGAAATTCATGAATCAGCTTCACAATGTCAAATTCAATAAATAAATAAAATAAAATGAATAATTACATCACTACTAAAAATAATAATTATTATGATAATAATAACAATAATAATAACAGTATTAATAATCATACTTAATATTCTTAGGGCATATATGAATAAGTTGTTCAATTTCAAATAAAGTAAAAAAAAATAAGTGCAAAAAAATAAATAAATAAATATTTACAAGAACAATAACAACAATAGCAACAACTTTAGTAATCATAATAAGTAAAAATATAAATAAACATAAATAAATACATGTAGAATTAGAATGACAAATGATGGACCTATTATCAGCTTTATTGTATTTTTATTCAATTGAAATTCAGAATTGTAAAAATATATTTT